GACAATCATATGCATACCTTTTCTATGGCATATTCTTTTTGAGCGCGAGCCCATAGGACTGAGGTCCTATGGTTGTTATTGGTGTCTCGGGCTGATACAGGATGCGATGTGGAAAAGGGTATTTTCATTGTTTAAACACTGTACTTAGTGACAAAACATCGCATTTATCCTCTTGAGAAAAAAAAGATGTGTAATTTAACTGACTACTGACATGTACATAGCTTAGTTCTATCAAAGAACAGCAATTTGAAATTAAGAGAAAAGTGAAAATAAATGCACATATGTATTATCACAAGTACTTTTTCGGTTTAATTTTCTAAGGTTGTGATTTTGGTCCGTTTTAGCGCCGCAGATACATTTCATCTCTGCAGGGTTGATACGGCTATTGTGACGTCAGGTACATTGCCTATGAAAAACTCTATATTTATTACCAAGAATCTAGTAAATGCATGTATCTGTGTTATATAAAGTAATCACATAGTCAGTTTTAGTGTTTCAATGTGCCCCAGACTCATATGATACTTAAATGTTGTACACATATTTTCCGAAAAGCAGAAAGCAATAATTATTATAATCATTGAAAATGCATGAATACAAATAATTTGAAATAATATTTATATTCACACAATATACTCAAGGTTTGCATTATATTACATTTATACTCTCAATGCTTTATTGTTAGGTTGAATTAAGTCTCTTTATCATTTTATTTGACTACGTAAAATCGCAAGAAGATTTGCGTCGGTAGAGAGTTTTGTTAAGTGTTCTCTTTATTTAGTTTTTCATTAATAATCTAAAGAGTCCATACAAGCACTTTTGAAATGAGAAATACAAAGTGGTGTTATTAATACTTACCATCTCATGCTCTTCAACCACCACGGGCGTATATAGATATCTCTTTACCGGTAGTAGTATTAACAAACTTAATGACTTCACCAAGATGAACGTGAACTAGACTCAATCCCAGATTGTAGCATACACAACTTCAGTCTGTCTATGTGGTGTAAATTTTACCGTTAATTCACATTAACAATTTTGGAACAATCCACAAATTAAGGTATTTTAAACATATTTTTTAAAGAGGGTTTTGGGTCAACAAATAAGACATCATATATACCTTCATTTTTTTTTTTATATATGGTGTCTTTTAAGTCTAAAAATGGTTAAACCATCTCGCCTTCTTAATTTCTTTTATCCGATCAACATATTTTAATATACCCTAAATCTATTGTCACAATTACCATTCCAGATTATCTTTCTTTAGTTTCTTTCTATCTTAGAAAGTTACGCTATGTTGAGAGAAAAAGATAATGAACAATGTTCAACATGGTCGTAATTAATTAGCAATAATTAGTTGTTCAATAAAGTAAATAACACTGCACCAAAGTACATCCGATAGAACGAATTCATTTCCTAGCCCTCCGATTTTTTGTCTCATCAAGTCAACTGATAAAATACTTCAAATTAAATATGTAACACTATTATGCAATTAATTACCCCTTTTGAGGTCAACATGGTGAAATAAGGACCCGAGACCTGGCCCACGAGGTGACCTGACCTGACCGAAGCCGCGTTTGTGTCTTTTTCAAGTAAAATATCCAAGTATGAAACAGAAGTGTCGGACTCTGTGGTATCTTTTATCTCAAGCACACAAGGATATATCGTATCGACGTAGGAATGGAAATTACCATTATTAATTGAAAATACGTCGTCGATATATCTAAATGTCGAGTTGAAGGCCACAGCAAAAAGACGTTAATGTTAATCTAACAACCAAGCTATATGATCAACGTGATGACTAACTTTTCTATCGTCAACTTCCCTTACTTATGCAGCTATATACCTTCATCACCTGAATACGGAGTATATATATCTCAGTTAATTCAATACGCAAGGGTATGCGCTACGTACAAAGAATTTCTAAAACGAGGTAAATCATTGACAAACAAGTTGATGAAACTTGAATGTCAGCCGTCTCGTTTAAAGTCATTATTTCGTAAGTTCTGTGGTCGATACAATGACCTTGTCAGCAAATACAATTTATCATTGAGTCAAATGCTGACTGACGTTTTTCAGGCTCATTTTTATTCCATTATTTATACATTGAATTAATGACGGGTTTTTCCGTTATTTCCTGACCATGGCAAGGAGCACACGGCGGGTTTGACCGGTCAGCAGGGGATGCTCACTCCTCCATGACACCTGATCCCACCTTTGATATTTCGGAGGTCGGTGTTTGCTCTGTTCCTGTTTTGTATTGTTTTATGGACTTTGAGATTGAATACTGTTTGTTATCTTCAGATCCTTCTACCTTCAAATAGTGTAACATATTATATTGTGCTTATTTTAAATTTCTAGTGAGTAATATAACAAAGATTTACATCGACCATGAACTTTTCGAACAGCTCTCGTTTATTTATATTTCATCGCAGAGGTGGGATCGTGTAGGAGTGAGCATCCCCTGCAAACTATCTATTTTCAATCTAATATTTCTAATATATCCAGTTCTACTACATCATAGGCGTTAAGAATGGATAAGTTATAAGACTATGTCCCGAACAGAATAAATGAATGAAATATATGGAGATATGGAAATAAAGACCAGTTGTGAAGCTCAGAAGTCCATTAAACAATACAAATTTGGAGCATAGCAGACATAGACCTAGAAAAATCTGACTTCCATGGGTTTATATAGTAAGTTTTGATAACAGTTAGTGTTTTTCCTTTATTATTCTCACAGATAAGATTCATCAAATCTAGACGTCTAAATCTGAAATAAGAAAAAGATAATTTTTTTACTTTAAAAAAAAAAATCTTAAAATGATGAAACTGAAATTTTGATGAAGAAATTTTATCTAGTGTTTTCATTTTGTTTTTGTTTTCAAAGAGTGGTCTTAGATTTATTTTTTTCCCGAAACATATTAAGAAAAAAAACATGTGATTCAAGATTCTTGCTCAAATTAATTTTAAAGTGAAAAAATCCATAATGTAGCACAGATCCCTAAAACCATGAAACAAAATATAAACAAAAGCATTTCAAATTCCATGATAAGAATTAATACTAACTTTGCCTTCAAAAAACCAGATATCCAATAGTTTTTAGCTCACTTGAGCCGAAGGCTCAAGTGAGCTTTTCTGGTCAAAATTTGTCCGTCGTCTGTCGTCGTTGTCGTCGTTGTTGTCGTCGTCGTTGTCGTAAACTTTTTACATTTTCATCTTCTTCTCAAGAACCACTGGGCCAATTTCAACCAAACTTGCTACAAAGTATCCCTGGGTGAAGGGGATTCGAGTTTGTTCAAATGAAGGGCCACACCCTTTTCCAAGGGGAGATAATTATGAATAAGAGAAAAATTAATGGCATTTTTAAAAAATCTTCTTCTCAAGAACCACTGGGCCAGGAAAGATGAAACTCATGTGGAATCATCCTCAGGTAGTGTAGATTCAAGTTTGTTCAAATCATGACCCCCGGGGGTAGGGTGGGGCCAAAATGGCCGATCAAAGTGTTACATATGAGTATATAGGAAAAATCTTCAAAAATCTTCTTCTCAAGAACCATTGGGCCAGGAAAAATGAAACTCATGTGGAATCATCCTCAGATAGTATAGATTCAAGTTTATTCAAATCCTGACCCCAAGGGGTAGGATGGGACCAAAATGGCTGATCAAAGTTTTACATAGGAATATATAGGGAAACCTTTTAAAATCTTCTTTTCAAGTACTTCAAAGCCATGATTAGTAATATTTATATGGAATCATCCTCAGGTAGTGTAGATTCAAGTTTGTTCAAATCATGATCCCCTGGGGGGGTTAAAATTCAAGCCCCCCCCCCCCCACCCCCCACCTCAGTAAACTTTCAGTTCTGATCTGATATGTGCTTTTTCCGAGCCGATTTGCTCAGGTGAGCGCTGTGGCCCCTGGGCCTCTTGTTCTATATATGGTTATGGAGTCGCCCGCGTGGCGCAGTGGTTAGAGCGTCTGCTCTAGAGTCGCGAAGTAAGAAGTCAATCCTTACGTCGCGGGTTCGAATCCCACTGCGGGACGTGGGGACCAGTCCTTCGGATGAGACCGTATAAACCGAGGCCCCGTGTCGCAGTAGGTGCTGGCACGAAAAAGATCCCTCACTGCTCAAAGGCCCTGAGTGCCACCGAGCATAGGACAAAATTTGTAGCCCTCCACCGGCTAGTGGTGGCGTCTCCATATGAGTGAAAAATTCTCAAGAGGGACGTTAAACAACAAACAATCAATCAATCAATATATGGTTATGGAAAGTTTATAATGCAAAATTTTATGAAATTTAAGACATACGCGTAGCAAATGCAAAATAAAAAGTATGAAGTAAAGAATATTTCGAGAAAAATAAATTCTTTTAATCAAAAATGTCCAATAGGAAAAGTGACAAGTGTCATCAATTGCATTTACAATTTACATGTAGATCTATAAACATATGATCATTATGTAAGAAAATCAATATCACTGGATAGACAAAGAAGATCATCAACAATGAATTAATTAAAGAATGATAAACATGAATATACCTGACTCCTTGTTCATTTTGAGACACAAGTTGTTCATGCAGTGGCTTTGAAAGGTATATTTAAGCTTGGAAGTCGAACAATATAGATAATAGGATGAAACGTACGTACATATCTAGTCATATTTTATTAAGCGCAATTTCGAAATTTATATAAATCATATTGTAATTTTACACAACCAATGGTTCATACTAACCTTAAACAGATTAAAAAACACTAAAAAAAATCAATATTTTATTTTCCGTCTGCCCAATAGCATCTCTGTACATAGTGTTATTGTAACGTCACGTACGCGTGAGTTTCCTCGTGTATATTTTTACGCGTGAGTGTGCACAACATTAAAATAATTTTCTTAGTTAAATGTAGTTTAGTAAAAAACACAACAAATATCAATATTGCACACTATCTTAAGAAAACGGAGTTAATTTATTTATCGTTTATTATTTAATATGATTCTTTTTTTTCTCTTATCTAAGAAACACACTTTCAGTTATACCCTGATATTATTTGCAGCTTATTCAACTAAAACCCATTGTCCTACCTGTTACATGGACTGGCCCTTTAAATGTCCGGTGGCTCGTTAAGTCCTGTTGTGTAGGCATATTTGTTGTTTGTCGCCCTGTTCCAGAATAAAAACGGGTTGGTAAAACAAATGCCAAGTTGACACATTCGAATTGTATTATTTTTTAAATTATTTTGCTTTTGAGGCTCATTTTATGTTAATCGAATTGGATTTTGAGTGAATTATGTAATCTGACTTCCCTAACCAAGAGAACATTCTTCAAAATCATATTCAGTTTTTATTTTATTTTTTATATTTCCAACAATCAAAATGACTTTGAATTTATCTTATGATTCCCAAACAATTTAATGATCCTTGCACACAAAAACACCATAGTGGCTTCCATTAAATGTTCAACTTCCTCCTTAAAATTATAAAAGTTGTAAAGGAGAATCGTCAGGCGTTGTGTACAATATACATGTATTAACATAAAATGTTGTTCCTTATAAGAAACAAGTTGTTCATCAAGTGACTTTGAAAGATTTTCTTAAGCTTAGAAGTTGCAAAATGTAAAGAAGGATATATATTGAAATAAGAAACTTTATCTAAGTTTATAAGTCCATTAAACGATACACAATTGGAGCATAGCAAAACAGACCTCCAAAAAATCAGAGGTTGGATCAGGTGCCATGGAGGAGTCAACATCCCCTGCCGACCGGTCACACCCGCTGTTTGCTACTTGTTATAATGATACGGGCAGATCTTCTTATTAAACGAATCTTTTTTATGATTTAATGCTTGTTTAACTAAATTCGTTTGTTCTACCTGTTTCCAATCCTGTAGTCATGGTCGTTAAGCGCCGTGGTAAAGACACGCTTGCCATGTGCTGCGCTGTATCAAAATAAATACGGATTCATAGACCATATGCACAGATGACAAATCAAGCGTAATATTATTCTTCATCAGTTATTTTTGTATGTAATGCTCATGATATTAATTTTATCTTAGAGGAATTTGTAGATTACTCTGGTATTTGTAATCCAACTTTCCATACTACCTTAAGAGAAAATCTTGCATATCTTATTTCAGTTTAATTTTTAAAAAATATTACAAGCAATCAAAATGTCTTTAAATTATCTTATCTATATTGGATTCACAAGATACATAGCGGGTTCCATTAATTGAGCTTTTGATATTCATTCATTCATTCATTCTTTATTTCCTCATAATATGAGATAATTTCACATCAAAACAAAATCAACTATTCTAAATGTAACCCCATCCTTCACATTTTCAAAATATATTAAATCAAACTCCGGGTGTTAAAAATTAAAGCTTTGACTTAAACACATTCTCAGTCTATGGTACCAAGATCAAGACCATAAAATGAGAACAGCCTTAAGTAAAAATTTAAAGTTTTAATATTTTTAGTTATATTGAATGTACTTTGTAAACAAATTGAAATTTCGTAAAACATTTGAATTCAACCATATGACGAAAATATTGTTTCATTATCAAATTTATTTCAAAAAATATTTTGGTTTGAAATTTTTATTTAAGTCTGTTTTTAAGTCATTGTCATGGAACATCTGTGGATGCTAATCGTGCATCGTTAATGATAGGGGTATTTTTGTAATCATGTGTATTTTCTCAAAATCATGTTTATAAGAAAAAGAAAAATAACTAGATGAGATCTCGTTGCGAGCAACGAGTAGGTCTTCCGTTGAATTTTTCGATAAGATGAGATGTGAGTATGACTGAGATATTCGTTAAAAGAGAATGACATTAAGTTTTCCTTCATTAATTTTAAAGTTTCTCTTTTTTATCATGATATTCGGAACATCTTTTGTTCAATTTGGCTTATAAAAATACTCCCTCTTTTCGAGACATAAAGCATAAAAAATATATAATTTTGGCCCCTTGCAACCACTTATCACGTCATATATGATCAGAATTTAATAATATATTGTTGCAAATATGTTGAGATAAATACTTTTGCTTCAGTAATGTATTACAAAATATTGATCATTAGAGAGTTATAGATAAAAGACTTTTGGCCCCTCTGAGCCCCTAATTTGAGGGGCCAGTTCCATTTTCTTGATATCAAATGAAAGCTCTTATGATTTTAAAGATTTTTTGTTCAACACTTATTCAGAGATTTCTATTCGATTGGAGATATGCTAAATGAAATTTATTTAGGGGCCACTCCTACAATTCCTTAATGGAGCCATTTAAAAAAAATTCAAAGTATGCATATTGTTTAAAACATTATTCTGACCATCTTTTGTTCAATATTGCTTATCAAAATATTCCCCCTTTTTCAGATATAAAGCGTTAAAGATTTGACATTCTGGCCCCTTGTGACCCTTAATTACGCAAGATATGATCAAAATTGTTTCATATATTGTTGCAAATCGTCAAGATAAATACTTTTGCTTCAGTAATGTATAACAAAATATTGATCAGTAGAGAGTTATAGATTAAAGACTTTTGGCACCTCTGAGCCCCTAATTTGAGGGGTCAGTCCCACTTTCTTGATATCAAATGAAAGGTCTTATGATTTTGAAGATTTTTTGTTCAACACTTATTCAGAGATTTCTATTCGTTGTGGAGATATGATAAATGGAAATATTTAGGGGCCACCCTTACAAGTCCTTAACGGGGCCGTTTTACAAAAATTCAAAGTATGCATATTGTTTAAAATGTTTTCTGACCATCTTTTGTTCAATATTGCTTATCAAAATATTCCCCCTTTTCGAGATATAAAGCGTCAAAGATTTGACATTCTGGCCCCTTGTGACCCCTAATTACGTAACATATGATCAAAATTGTATCATAATTGTTGCAAATCGTTAAGATAAATACTTTTGCTTCAGTAATGTGTAACAAGATATTGATCATAAGAGAGTTATAGATAAAAGACCTTTTGCCCCTCTGATCCCCTAATTTGAGGGGTCAGCCCCTTTTTCTTGATATCAAATGAAAGGTTTTGTGATTTTGAAGATTTTTTGTTCAAAACTTATTCAGAGATTTCTATTCGTTGTTGAGATATGCTAAATGGAAATATTTAGGTGCCACTCCTACAAGTCCTTATTAGGGCCGTTTTACAAAAATTCAAAGTATGTGTATTGTTTAGAACATTATTCTGACCATCTTTTGTTCAATATTGCTTATCAAAATATTCCCCCTTTTCGAGATATAAAGCGTCAAAGATTTGACATTCTGGCCCCTTTGTGACCCCTAATTACGCAAGATATGATCAAAATTTCAAAATATATAATTGCAAATCGTCTAGAATTGAAAAATAACGAAAAATCAGGCAGAAAAAGTGATAAAATTTTTTGGACAGATGGGGGATCGAACCCGGGTCGCCCGCGTGAGAATCCAACACGCTAACCATTTAGCCATTGAGATCGCCGCTTCGAATTTTCAAATGCTAATATCTCGAGATTGGCTTTTTTGATTTTCAAACAAATTACATATTTCGCTTTTGCAAACGGGTCCTTATCGATTTCAAAAACAAAAATATTAAAAAACAAAAATTGAAAAATTGCGTTTTTTAAATTCGCTTCCGGTAGCGACCGGAAGTATTGATGATACACGGAAAAGTTATTCTGCAAAGCTATAAGTCATGAACTATCATCTCAAATAGTCTCAAGTTCATATCTTAAGCAGTTTTCGCTACTAAGTTCAGACAAAATTGCACTTTGAAATCAGGAAATTGTCGATATTTCACGACCGGAAGTGATGTCATCAACAAAAAAATTTCCAATAAGGTTCAGATCAGTACCTATAAGATGTGAAAGTTTTATGAGAATCGGCCCAGTAGTTTACGAGAAATCGCGTGCACAAAATTGGTAAGAATAATAATAATTGGGAAAAAGAAACCGAAGAATAACAAGAAGGTCTTCCGTTGGAGACGGAAGACCTTAACTACGCCTTAAACTCAACATGTTGATATATCTTTTTCGTATTATCTTCAGTCTAGATATGGTTCAATGTTGAAATAAAACATATAGAGATAACAACCTCTATTCAAGATCAAAAGTCAATAAAACAATATAAAATAGGAGCACAGCAAACACGGGCCTCCAAAACATCAGAGGTGAAATCAGGTTCTATGGAAGAGAGCGCAACCCCAGAAAGGACAAATCCACCTTGTGCTCCTTGTCATGATAAAGAAATAACGGAAAAATTCATCGCCAATTTAGAGTATAACTAATGGACTAACAATTAGTATGAAAAACTTCAGTCAGCATTTGACTCAATGAGGAAGTGTATTTGCCATCCAGGTCTCGACCATAGAACTTACGAAATGATGACTTTAAACGAGATTGCTGATATTCTTGCTTCATCAATTTGTTTGTCACTAATTTACCTGGTTTTAGAAATTGCTAATTCGTACATTGAATTGAGGACGGATTTTTTTTTCGTAAGTTCCGATCATGACAAAGAGGACACGGCGGGTAGAACCGGTCGGCAGGGGATGCTAATTTAATTTCATATTATATATTTATTGGGTTTTTTATTTTCCCAGAAATGAATATTTTCATGAAAAATACCATTACATTTAATTCCAAAACTTCATAAAAATCATTAGAATAAAGATTCATAGCGAGTAAATTTTCCACCAAACTTCCAAAATAATCCTTTAAATGTTTTACCAAGCCTCCTCCTTCATTCAGAATGATAACGACATTAAAAAATGTCAAACCTCCTGAACAAAAGTGTATTGAAAGTGATGTGAATTAAATGCGGATACTTATAAAGAATAATATGACTTTATAAATTTCCGAATGGGAAAAAAATCAATTAGCTCAGCTACATGGTATTAAGAAAATGCTTTAAATTAGCATACATGTAACTTATGATATGTTTTTATGAATTCTATAAAATACCTGCAATACATCCGTTGACTCTGTCACATTCAGTGTCGGGACACTCACAAACAGACAGACACAGTCGTCCATAAAAACCTGAAGCACATTTCTGTTTACAGTTCCAACCATATGTTCCATAGGGACATTCTAAATTAGCCAAAAGAATGCATAAAATATTAACACTTATATTTTTGAGAAGCAAAACAAACCAATCATTTAATTGAAAACGACCTTCTCAGAATTTGTGTATAGGTTAAAGTTATAATGTCTTATTGCACATATTCGTTTGTATGTAACTTCTTTCTAAGATATCAAATAACAATCAAATGACTTTCAAACGTTAACAGATAATATATGTATAATGTATTTATAATTCATTTTAATTTACCTTTGCAAATATTATTTCTTGGGTCCGGGTATAGATTATAGCAGCATTGGTATCCCTGTCTACAAAAAGAATCAAGTTATGATTGATTGATTGATATTAAACAAATAACACGTTCCTTTAAATTGTAGCTAAGTAGTTGTGTTGTCGATTTGAATAATTTTATGCTTTACAAGGCATTACTCGGATCTATTTATAATTGTGTGATGAGAACAAGATTTTTAATATAACTGCAAATATAACTGCATGATTTTTAAAAATCTGTGATGATGTATCTTCTATAAGAAATACAAACTATTAGGCACTTCGTTTAAGAAATATTGTTACAGATTCCATCAGTTTATAATATTTCCCAACTAATGTGACATGTGAGGGAATACATATTTACGTTCACTTATGTGAATAAAATTTAGTATAAATAAAACAAAATATTAACATGATGTTCCGCATACACCAAATAAAAATTGAACCAAAATGTTTTTATACAGAGATAATATATGACGATATTGCCTTCGAAACTATTTTTTACCTGAAAGAATATGCGAGTGTTGACATTTTAAATAAGACATGAAATTAAATTGGCTGAAATATTGTAAAGACAATTCATTCTGCAAATTTTATTAATGATCAAAATTTTTTTTAAAGAGGTCTTAATTTATTGCAGGGAACTAAAAATTAAGTGCATTGCCCTTGTGTGCTCTTGTGTTCATTCGACCAAGATTTACTATTTTGGGAAGTTATTTTTTATAAAGAAGAGTGTAAGTAATTTTCAATGAGTTATATCCATGGCAGAGTGAGTCGTTGTCCTTTCACACGATTTACTTAATGTCTATTTCCCGCTGAACTGTAAGAGTGTATTCGATTAAGACAACCCGTGTCGCACTAATGTTAAATATGCGCAAGTAGTATAAAGGGCCTAGATAGGCGGGTCAACTGAGTGCACTTTTGGGGCTGTGGGGGATAGGCGGGTCAACTGAGTGCAGCCCCTGGGGGGATAGGCGGGTCAAGGGAGTGCAGCCCCTGTGGGGGATAGCCGGGTCAATTCAGTACATATAATCCCCCCTAAATACGGGGGTGTGTTTACACTGTGTTTACATTATATACTATACGCTGCTGCTACTACCATTCATAACGCTGCTACTACGATTTTGGCAAATACTCAAGAATTTGATTATGACGTCACTCATTCACAGTGATTTTCCGAAAACTGAAAAAAAACAATAACACACAATAGAAACAAGAACACAGATTTTATTCAAGTAAAAAAATACAACAATTTACTTTTTCTTCTTCTGGGCCTTATCGGTCATCAGGGATAGTTTCCTCTTGTGAGTAGTGCTGGGTCCTGGATTTTCTCTGTTGTGTTCCTTTTTCTCTTTTTTGTCTCCTTCTTTCACTGGAGGTTT